CTTATCCTCAGCACTGACAAATCAATATCGATCTTTCGAGCATGCTTAAATTTTAACTGTTTGCCACACTTTCTGCACGTCCTACGACGACCTGGGGAACCAGTGTCAAAAATTTACGAAGTAAAGCTTGTTCAGTTTCCTAAAGGACTTATTTTGCTTCGAAATATGCATATATATCAGGTGATACTGACAAAGACAAGGGAGACCGGGATGATCATTTTTGGTTTATTAACCGTCATCAGCCAGTCATACCCAATTCTAAGTGTGCATCACTTGAGATTTGGACCCGGGATCTTTGGTCATGGATTATAACACTCTACCATTGAGCCACGGGTCCGTTGTCCTGTCGGATGCGATCGGGAATATACAATGGTAGAGGGGAGCGCTGTATTACGGAACGCACTCGTCCAGTTGTTCCTTAGGGTTCTCTCATGAGCTCAATCAGCAGCCGCAGAGCGACGCGTAATATAGGCAGAGTAACATATCCGACAAAGACAATGGAGACCGGAATGACCATTTCTGGCTTATTAGCTACCCTCAGCCAGTCATACCCAATCCCAAGATGTGGAACACCCCTACTATTGTATATTCGCAATCGCATCCGAGAGGACAACGTGCCCGTGGCTCAGGGGTTAGAGACGTTCGACCTCTAACAGGGCAAGGTCGAGCTCCAGGTGTTTCACACCTCGGGTCTGGGTATGACTGGCTGACGACGGCTAATAAGCCAGAAATGGCCATCCCAGTCTCCCCTGTCCTTGTCCAAAATAACATTCTGTCTATATCATGCGCTGCTGTGCAGCCAATGATTGGGCTCGAGAGAAAGCTCGTAAGGCAGAATGGGACGAGTGAGTTTCCTAACACGATCGGTGAGCGTCCTCTACCAGTGTACATTCCCGATCGAAATCGACAGGACAACGAGTCTGTGGCTCGGTGGTTAGAGGCGTTGAACTTCTAACTAACAGGTCGCAAGTTCGAGCCCCAGATGTTCCACACCTCCGGGGCTAGGTATGACTGGCTGACGACGGCTAACAAGCCAGAAATGTCCATCCCAGTCTCCCCTGTCTTTGTTGGTAATAACACTGCCTATATATATTCTGTTAAAGATATGAGAACAAAATAATCGCAATCTTTAGGAATAAAGACATGGAATATGTGTGGTCGTCAAGACAACTGTGAGATAACAATTAAAATTTCATAGTACGTGCACTTCGCGTCAAATAAGGCCGCAGGCAAAGCCAGTGGGAAAAATGAAGTATGTTCAGTGACTGAACAGGATTAGGCATAAACGAAGGACTTTTGCAAATCAGAGGCCATTACATATGCTGGGTGCGGAACGGCATGTGCAGAAGGCCGGAAAACTCGTAAACTATTTCCCAGAAAAGACCCTCATTTCTGAAGAAGAAGAAGAAGAAGAAGAAGAAGAAGAAGAAGAAGAAGAAGAAGAAGAAGAAGAAGAAGAAGAAGAAAATAGGAGTCGCGGAAAAAAATCTGAATTCTCACTAGTGTGTGCAACTTGCTGTAGATACGCACGACCTACGGACCGGTACCTGTTCTGGCGCGGATCGTGTGAATTGTTTGGTTTTACGGTGCATACATCCATAACGAGATCGAACACATGTTTACTATCAAGACTCCTGTGGGTGAATTGTACGCATAAACTGTAATATTCACAATGCGGCTGCGATGTCATATGTGATGAGAGCGTTTGGCGGCAAAGCCTTCATAACTTCAAATGGAGGCTGGTGCTTAATCGCGATGGCTCTGGTCAACCGTTTTTGTAAACTATTGTTTTTTTAGGGTAAGAGGGTACCATACTAGCGGCACAAGTACTAGCTAAAAACCCATACACACGTGTTTTGCTGATATTCTGCCGCTGCATGGCCCAGCTGCGAGAGGTTCGGCTCGTCTGTGGGTTCCCCAGCATTCCCCGTCCACTTTCTGGTAGACATTCCAATCTAGAAATTGTTGCTTTTTAATTTCCTTAGAAATTAACTATAAACTTGGAGTAGATTGGTGTATCTACCAGAAACCAGACGGGAAATGCCTGGGGGACCCACTGATGAGTCTAACCCCTCGCAGCTGCGTCATGCAGGGGCAGAATATCGGCAAAACACGCGTGTGTGGGCTTTTGGCTAAAACCTGTGCTGTTAGTATGGTATTTTCTTTACCCTAAAGTATGCTACTAGCTGCCTGTTGGTAGTTAATGAATATTACGCCCCACTGTGGCTGATGGACTTCGGCCCAGCTATTCATACATCGAACTTCAGTCTACGCCTATAGAACCTAGAATGTACTGACCCACTCCAAGTTCGCAGTTACTTACCGAGGAAATTAAACAGCAAAAAATTATTGTTTGCCTGAGGAGGGAGGGTGTACCAGAGATCTGGCGAGTTGAACAAAAGAAGTCGATAATGCAGGGATAGCCATGACTTCGGGCATTACTGTTCGCTTAGAGCCCGACACAAGATCGTTGTGGACCAAGATGTCCAAACAAGAGGTTCCCATTAGTCAGATTCTGTCTGGCTACACTTCTACCCAGCGATAAGAGTAATCTCGAATACATCAGCGGGCATCCGACTTTTGTCAAATTCTTGTTGGTTGCATGAATAGGTTTGCTCAAATAAATACCAAACTTCCGGACGTTCTTCAAACACGAACTCGACATTAGGAAATTACGGTTGATAGGTAGCGCTACCGGTGACCAACGCGATCGCAGAAACGGTGCAGTCGGTTGAGCTTTGGAAACCGTGCAGGAACCCAACATCAGAGACAATGACGTAATAGCAATAAATTCACAGCGGGGTTTTAGTTTCTCATCACACATCGACAGTGTATGCTTTTGTCGGGGAAAATGGCCGCGCCATCTGACAGCGCAGGAGCAGCGCGTAATACGCAGGGCGCAAATTGATGAGTTTTCTAGGGACCTGCTGCCAGAGATCTATGTCCTAAGCAGCTCTCACCCTGTCTTGTTAGAGGCCCGCGCCACTAGTCATGTCCGTAAAGTAGCGTTCGCAGTCTTCATACGCTACGTGGACAGCGGCCCACCTCTCCAAACAGCCCACTCCCGTTCGCGTATTCACGAGCTGAATCGCTGCGCGGCCTCGCAAGGGCAGTTGGGGCATGGAGTCTGATGATAAGCTACACCTGAGAGTTCACCTGTGACCAACCGGTCCTCCACTTGCGTGACCATTTTACACCCGACGGCTACCGGACAACAAACGATAATTATGCTAAACTCGGATGCAATACGTTCTGTCGCCACTCGTGCATTCTACATATGTTATAAGGAATGCCGAACCGTTGACGGCTCCCTCCTGTCTGAACTCCGTCCGTCGGCTTCGTCTGCCGCAAATCGTTCAGGTAGATCACGTTCTTGCACCTAAGTTGATTTAAAAGTCCGATCAGCTGGCTGGTCATGGGTTTGGCCTGCGATCGGGATGTAGGTCTGGAAGGCGGCTGGCCGGTGAGGGGCGCCCATGCCAGCTCGTCGTAATCAACGCATTTCGTTATGAGGGTTGCTCTCAACCTACCAACAAGCATAACTAAATATTCATTGTCAGTGCTAATTTCCAAAATGATTCGATTTTCGCAGGGGACGTATTGCTGATGAGCATTTTTGCTTCTATAGTTGCCAAGGTTCTTCCCAACAGGCGCTCGAGAGCGGCGACGAAGTTGCCTTGTTTGACACGATCCAGTACTCACAGCTCTTTTTCGCTTAACTGCCTGGATGATATGCCCTAAGCTAAATTTCACTCCTAATTATTTTCGGTTTCTACCTTACCGGCTTCTAGTCTAGATTTAGACTTTTCATTCCATGCTTCGGCTGAGGCAATCGACGACAGACTCGCTAAACAACGCTTCGTACTCTGCTCCTTCCTCCTCAATGCCAGTGCTATTAATTCGTGGGCGTATGTGCAGTCGCTGGTTAACGCCATCACCTTTTGAGCCGTAGTACGGTTCTGCACCGGCACAAGGATAGCGGGCATGCGTGCCTCCGGTTAAGCTATTGAAAGGAGACCAAGGGAACTAAAAGATCGAGAATCCTTGATGGGCAACACTAGTTGCATTCGGTATATTTTACAGTTCTCCGCAAATCCTCACCCTATTCGCCGGGTGGCTATTTAGAAAGCGAGAAGAAAAGCTTTGTAGGCTGCCCAGAAAACGGCCTTGAGCCACAACTCAAAAGTGAATTACAAGAGAAGGCTTTTATAGAAAATGGATGAGCAAAGAAGGTTATTAGACCAAAAATTTTGGTTCGTACTTGGAAGCCGGTTATTGCACCATGAGAGGCTGGTTGGAGAACACAGTGAAAGCTGGGACTACAGCTGTTTCGGACTTATTAGATGTCCTCTTCGGTCCGTAGTACTGCCAATCAACGCCTGCGGCTAGACACCAAAGTTGTGTGCATAAACACACACAAACACACAAAATGCGTGCATGGTCGACAGGCGAGGTCAGAACGACGGGTCAATGGCACCGTAGAATCGAGCTTCCACCTTTGCTCCCTTATCACAGCCCTTTGGCAGAGCGCAGATTAGTGCGCAAGACACTGGAATGGCGTATAATTATGACTGTACGTATGTACCGGATAATGCTGGGGTATTTGGTCTCATTGGCAGTGCAGATAAGGATCAGCCTGTGTGTAGCCCTTTTTTACCAATCGACCGCAAATTTCGCAAAAATCTTAATTCCAGATCTATATACAGGCATGCGCGGATGGAGTAACTGAAAAGACTTTGCCATAAAAGCAAAAACCTGCCTAATTTCAAAATCCACTCACAAAAGTGGTGAGCGTAAATCAACCTGGCTTTTAAAAGCTGCAAACAACTACAGTACTGCGAGGTACACCCTCGCTCAATAGAGACAAAAGGAAGAAGTGAGTTTTTTTATTATTCGCGTTAACGCAGTGAACTCCCCAAGTGGTTTCGAAATTCTTCAATTCTGTTGTTACATTGTTTACAAACAGCGTGATCAATGTCTGAAGGTGATTCGACTTCTGCCTACTGCAAGCTTTGTTTCCAAGTGACTGTCGAGATGCTGTGGCTGAAAAAGGTGTATTGAGGAGAGCAGTGAGTCTAAAAACACTGTACTACGGTCTCTGTTTCTCAAGCCAGTCTGTCCTGAGCTGTGAAGAAAGCCCCGAACTAAGGTCTGATTTTTGTTTCAAAATTTTCAAAAATTGGATCTACCTGCATTTAAGACATTTGGCTGACTTTCATCTTTTTCTCTGTCTCATAGTAAACCACATCATTACACCTGACAGTGAAGATGCCACCTTCAGCTGTGACGTAAAGTCAGCCTTTCGAATCACATTCAAGATCTTTACTTATTCGGTTGGGCCGCTCATGATCAGAGTTCTGTCTAACAGAGGCCACGGTTTATTTACCGCCTCGACTACAACTGAGTGGTTATAGGTGTACTTATTGAAAATTCTACCATATTAACTGAAAATCAGACAAGCCCTGTCGGTGGTTGGACAGCATGCACCAACTATCGTTAATTATAACAATAGCATTTTCAGGTTTCTTGCACCGACTACTAGACTGATCTGTTGCAAGTTTGGATAAAAATTAAAACCAAATATCGTAGGAAGAAAGTAATAAATACACCAAGACACTAATGCACGAGAAAAATAAAGGCGGAGCCTATAGAAAGTGAGGAACACACAGACGGTTTGGTCTAATTTGGGAAAGGACCGGCTGGAGTAAGAAAATGCCCCACGTGCCGGTTCCCGAAATCAAACTTGGTACAAAAATTACAGTATAAGAGGTAAGTAATTTTTTCTGTTGCTCTGCGGTGGCTGCATAAACCTAAATATGCTCCCTAAAAAGGACGCACTAAAGATCCACTTAGCGCATTAAATCGCAGGAAATTGCACTCTCCAAATTTTCGTTAAAGCGGCGATGTACTTCGACTGTTCAATGGTTTGCAAACGCGAGCCAGCTGTCAAAGGTCCGTGGGGTTGTTGATGCTGCTTACAAAATAGGCAGCACAATCTACATCAACGGGAATACTTTAGGAGCGTCAGGGACCCTCTTCGTAGAAATACAGGGATTTGGTTTTATATTCAATAAAACATGGAGTGTGTAGCCCAAAATCCTTACATAGTATTGAAAGCACAGCTTCTTTTAAAATCTTTACGCATTAGTAGGCTCTTGAAGAACCCAGGTACACTTTTCTTTCAAGTATATAATTGCAAGGTATAATAATTTTTGTACATTGTTCTTGAAAATCGACTGGAGTCACACAGGAGTCGAAGGCCAATGAGAAACGGAACATCGCCTCTGTAGTTACTTGTCGAATGTGGTCTAAACAGGCAGGTTCGAAGATGTTCGATTAAATGCGAGCAGTTTAACGCGTGTGTGTGATCTTCGGATGATGTTCTATTTTAGGCAGTATTCCAATCTCGCTGAGGCAACCGTTTCTAGTTAAAATTACTCCCAATAAAGTAAATTTAGGGATACATTGCACAAATTGGAATCAATGCATGTTCAACCCAGGCTATGTACATTCGATGACAGCCTATTTCGCTGGTTGCGAGAAATGGCATAAAGTTAGGTGAGCGCGAAGAAGCAAACTCGCGATTGTTAGGGTTGAAGGAGGGATTAGGCAATAGTCAACAAATGTTCGTAGTTGCTTAAGGGCAGCAGCCGCTTATTGTACCAAAATGTCCGCTTCCATAAACTTGCTTGAAGAGTCGTGCGGATCATGGCGCCTGAATGAAGTAAAAAGGGATTTTCAAAGGGGAACTACAACTAACAGAAAATCAAGAAATAGGGACTTTGTAAATAAACACAAAAGCAAATGCTGTACACGCAAGCTACTTCAGAAATCTAAAAAACTTGCCGATTTCAACAGTCTTCTGGGGCGTCAAACGATGAGAAGCAGCGAACTTGAAACGAGAAAGCGTCGGTGAGCTGAGAAGAGACGGGAGGGAATGAAATAAGAGCATAGTTAAAATGCGTAATTGATGATGAAAACGATAATACGGTCTCATTACTGGCCCCTTACTTTTGCAGCAAGTCGGTTTATTTTGAATTCAAATCAGATAGAGCATTCAAGCGACAACTTCTACGCTACTTGATTTCCTAAGTCTCCGACCTCACTCACGAGTGTAGCATGAGAAGTACTAAGGACCTCGAGCCTAAAGTCTTCCCAAGATACTAAGATGGAAGTAAGTGTCGAAGGAGAATTGTCGTCTGTTACGAGCAACAATTCTAAACAGACCATTCTTGGCAAAAAGAATCCCAGTCTTCGCCTTTTTATCCTGTATTCGCTCTTCCGCGCTTTCTTACTCAAGAGGGCTTTTTGCTTCTACATATAACGGGCAGAAAATGGGAGAGCATAGCCAACAACAGGGATTGTGCGGCTGAACTTTCGTTGTTATTTACTGCTTGTCAATTCAGTAATACCTCTAGGTATAACAGAAACTAAGCACGCACGAGATGCTTTAGACAGGACTGTGTCCTACGCCCGCTCATGTTATGCGAACTTGAAGAACAAGTTTTCTTGCATTTGCCTCCGCGGACCTGATGCCTATTCACGCCACACATTTTGTCAAACAGAAATAACGCAGGTTAGAAAACCATAGACAATTTTTTGATATTTTTAAGTTCACGTGTCTTCATGAGGGCTTAACGATGCTTTTGATGGCCCAACAACTTTGATGTGGACGAAGCGTTTCGAATCTACGAAGTTGCCACATTTCAGATCCAAACATCTCGGAAGACCGGTGAATGGGCATTGCAATAAGTCTACCGTATTAAGTCGAGTATAATTCCTTTTAATTACTTAGAACGAGGTTTTTCAGCTCTAAGCTTAGTTCCCCACCACTCTAAAAGTGCAACCAAGAACAAGGCTGCTTTAGAAAGTATTTATGCCAATTCTAGTTGTTTTTGATGTCTTTTACCACTACAGATTAGGCAGGTATCGTGCTGCAGGTTGATAGCATCATGTTTGAGTGTCATCGTTGTATTCGGTCAGTAGCACGCTCCAGAGTAAAGTTGGAGTGATTGGTACGGCCGCAAGGCAGACTGAAGAGTTCAGGACTGAAAGTGCACTCAAGGTTGGCCTGCTCCACGTTCTCAGCCGCAAACTCGACGCCGTCGCCAGACAGCGAGATCTATTTTGGCTGGCTTCGCGTCTATCTGAAAGCCGCGCATTGCACTCTCGCAAAGCAGATTACCAGCGCTGTAGCATCACCTGCGAAGTTGCTTTCCGTAATAAAAGGACAGGGGCATACCAGATCAGTTTGGTCTGCCAACGTATGCAAAATAGCCCAGCGAATCACACAGAAGCATTGCCCTAAATGGCACCATGGGTGACATCGAAAAAGACCCTTATCTTGTCATTCATGCGGATTCTGGTCCCTGTTCCATGATCGTACTGTTGAATCACTCTGAGTAGCTTCGGTAACATGCCACTAAACATAGTCAGTTCCAGGGGATCACAATGGACAGTTACATGAAGACAGGCTCTAGAACAAACGGGCAGAGGTGACTGCTGATGCGTACATACTCGCACAAGCCAAACGCCGCGCTTATTTTTCTTGCCAGTAGTTCACGGTACAAGCGAGAACAATCGAAGAAAACTGGCGTCCACAAGCCGACAAAAATTACTTGGAACGCAGTCAAAGCCGTGTTTTGTTCCTCTTTAGTGTTCCAATAGCACAGGTGGATCTTCGTGGATGGTAGACTGCAACTGCAGTTGTACCTTGGCGCCAGGGTGCTTTTAAGCTAGTTTCCGGCAAGGGGAGCCGGGTACGACGTGCTCAAGGCTGTGCGTAATACGTCTTGCATTAGAGGGTTGTGCTTGAAAGTGACAAAATCACGAAAACCTAGTGTCTTTGACAATTGAGACACCCACATTTTATAATTGGCTCATTTTGGGAGCTCGGGTTAGCTTACTGATACCGCTCACTACTAGCTTAAGTGTCTTCTACGCAAAGCAATTTAATTTAAGAATTTGCTGCAGTCGTGCTGATCACAGCGCGTGGTTTTACGAAATACATTATTGAAATCCGGATTGGTATCGAGATATCAACTGTTGCACTGTCGATCAGTCTGGACATTTTCCCAGATAAGCGGTCGTTATGTAGATGCCGGTTTAGGCATAACACCAACTGTGAGATGTGCCGAAGAGTATGGGTCATTCTGAGTAGGCTATATTTTAAACCGGAAACGGGTTAGAGGCGGTTGTTATATGGATCAGCGCGGCCAACTGACTAAAAAGTCAGAGGAAGCCCCTGGAGGTGGCCACGTCGAATGCATCTACTACTAAGACCGAACAAGTCATGGAACACGTCTATTGGCAGACGAAGTCGGACTGATCGGATTCCTTGTTTACAAGGAAAATGTTGCGAAATATGACGGGAAAAAGTAAGGATGGCTTCACAAAAAGCCGGTTATTGGATATTTGAATTTCGCTTGTCAAACCCCAAGAGTGAAATAAATGCTAGTTGGCGGGTAGGGTCGCTTGACACTTCCAGGACGCTTAAGCGCGTAATGATTTTTGTGATGAGGTTAGAACTCCGAAAAAATCCCAATGTGAAGGAAAGGACTCTTCATATGAATGCGAAAGGTTGTAGGTAGGTTACTGATTACCCCGTTCGACCAGAAGGACGGATCTAACCGCAATTCATGCGGCCTAAAGAATTCAAGACCACACGACCGGCAAAGATATTTCAGACCTTGTCGCTTACCTTCTTTCAGTGAGTTATCAACAAGGTTCTCGAAAAATACTAAGCCCAACGAACTCGACTTGGTTATTTGAGTATTGTGAACAATTGTTACGGATCCAGGATGGGGTAACCGCGTGCTGGCAAAAATAGCCAGTGCCCTGTCCCTGCGTAACAGACGACCCCCCCCCCTTCCTGCAGTCTCCCCGTTAACGTAACGCTTACTCCTCTCCATGTCGGCCCCTTCCAAGGCCCTCCCCCGAAGTTGCTTCCAGCGCTGACATCCCCACCGGTTGCTTAGCGGACATGTTGGCGTCACCTCCCTACTCAGACGGATCATCCCCTCGTTATAACCAATCATCTTTTGTACCATTTGCCATTTTTCAATATACCGATATCTTTTTTCCTAGTATACAGTTTGTGCTCGTTTATCTTTTCTTTCTCCTTGCTTTATGGGGGCAATGCGGTCCAACTACGTTGTTCAGCTCGTACTAAGTCAAGAGTTATCTTCAGCGTTCCATATTACGTCCCATGTGCCATCTTCAGCGTCTTCGGCCGCTACAAAGAGTCGTAAGCGGTCTAGATGGTGCCGAACGTGCACCAAGGTGCCGGCCGACTGATCTTGACCACGTGGACGACATCGTCTTGGCAACTGCAAGCTGTAAAGACCTGAGAAGTGTAATACCACGGATGGAGGGAGCTGCTAAACCAGCATATTTCAGCAGCGGAGAGAAGGCGCTTCTTGGAAATCAGATATCAGCCCGAAGTGAATAATTTCAAATACGTCGAAACGAATTTAGTTTCCAATGAGCATAGTAAGAATAGTATCATCACCTGGATGGATTTTCGCGGTTTTTTTCAAACCAAAGGTGTATAAGGAGCCGCCGTGCTATTTTTTATTACAACCAAATGCATCTTTGCAAACCGGTTGTTTGTTCGCGTAGTATTTTTGCATGACTGAAAATGGCGATAAACGTGCGCAGAAGACGAGTGGAAACCGGAGAACGGTACGCCGAGCGAAGACCAACGAATTCGTCTCGGATAAGACGGTCCACAACAGCGGCATGAAAATCGCGAGGATATTTCAAGCTACCCAAAACACACGGCCGAGGTCGTTTGGCTATACTCTCCGTTGGCTGTCTCACGAGTTCAGTGGTACTGCCCCTCATCAGACGCCACGTCCTGAAAGGCGTCGAAGAGGTCAGCTTAAAACCTGACTCAACATGATCCGCCATGATAACTAGACGGCTTCTGGTTCTAGGTATCCGGTCTTCGCTTCTGTAGAGCAATGGGGTTAGGTCTCCAAACTCGATACCTCAGATAGTGGCGTGTGGAACGATGAAAGTCAAGGTTTAATCGCATGGGGACCGACTTAAGCACCCATTGCCTTCTTTAGCTGCGTTGTAAGTATACCCTGAACTGCATGACTACCTTTTTTCAAAAATACCGAAGTCAAGGGTTGCAATTCGCAGTATTGTCTGTGAAACCATACCCTCTAATGTACTAGATGCATCTAGTACATGATGTCGCAAAAGCTACGCGTAAGTCAGTAGTGGCCCCAAATAAACTACCTCCAGAAGCCATCGTCGATAAAGAAATGTGTCAATCGAAAAGTGAGAAATACGGAATGATTATGCATAACGATAAATGCATGTTTCGCCGACAGCGTGGCTAAAGCTCTACGTAGGAAGGAAGACCTTTGGGAAACCCACAGACTCCTGAATATCACGACCACATTGACTACGAATTTTCATAAATAGGAAAGTCGGGTCAAAGAATGGTGTGCAGCGCTGAACCAAATGAAAGATCTTATGAAAACACAGAGAGGAGCAACGTCCGTAAACAAATAAAAACAAATCCACAATCCATGAACATAAGCTATATGTGGAGGTCAATTTACAACTATTGCTCAGATTTTGTCTTTAGTTTGGTTCTTATGTGGATTCCCCTGTTGAACAAGATTTGCTGGTGTTAATGACGTGCTCGTTTTATGTCCCTACGTAGTACTGTAAATGCATGTGCGTAGCAAAAACATAACAACAACAGGTGATCCATATGTCGTGAAGACACACAAAAATCCGAAAACAACTCCGAAGGAAACAGCACTGTTCGTATTATTTGGAAATTTGGAACAGACTGGTATTATAAAAACTAGGATCCCCTACTGAGCAGAACGTCAGTTTTAAGCAAGTACCGGAGTCAAAAGTCCATCCGATTAACTGCTTACCGAAAAGGCCAACTAAAACACCAATGAAAGCAACAAAGATCACTCCACA